GTGAGGGGGCCGTTGTGGGGGGGGGGGAGCCGTGACGGGAGCGCAGCTGGGGGGTGGGGGGCGGTCGCTGAAGGACCCGGGACGGGTGGTCACCCTCCAGCCTGCTCTCGGGCTGAGAGCCTTCCCTCAGTCGTTCCCTTAGTTTTCCTTCAGTTTTCCCTCAGCCCTTCCCTCAGCCCTTCCCTCAGCGCTTCCCTCAGCGCTTCCCTCAGTTTTCCCTCAGCCCTTCCCTCAGTGCTTTCCGCAGTCCTTCCCTTAGTTTTCCTTCAGTTTTCCCTCAGCACTTCCCTCAGTTTTCCCTCAGCTTTCCCTCAGCCCTTCCCTCAGCTTTTCCTTGGCCTTTCCCTCAGAGAAACCCTTCTCTTTGTGCTTGGCCGTGGCTGGCAACGAGTTTTCCCCTCTTTCTCCACCGTTGTACAAATCGCCACCCGAAGTACGTGCCGTGCTTCCCTGGGCACTTTCGATGACTTGTGCTTTGACCGCAGTATTTGTATTTTCAGACCCTTATCTGCATAAACCCGCCCCTGTTTGAGGTTTATCAGACGCTGCTGAGCCCCACGCAGCATCATGTGGCGCTCATCGGTACCAAGGGGCTCATGGTGCTGGAGCTGCCCAAACGCTGGGGGAAGAATTCAGAGTTTGAAGGTGGGAAATCCACGGTGAACTGTAGGTGGGTGATTCCTCAGGTGGTTAATGACACCCCTGTCCTGCCATCCCTCCTCCACACCCTCTCCTCTCTGAGGGCCATGCCGATACAGAAGACATGGGTGGTATTGGGCTTGTAGGGGCAATCATAAATGAAGTTATTTTGGGTCAGGGACTTGCTGATTGTCAAGTGCCCCAAGGAAATGACCCTTTAAACTTGTTGCAATTGCTGAGGAGTAAGGTGGCTCCTCTGTAGTATTTTCTTTAGCCTTCCTGGGGTCTTTTAGCTGTGGTAGTTAAAAGCTTGTGTCCAAATGGAAATAACAAAGAGCTTCAAGTTAAATCTGTACTTCTAATTTTAAGAACAATACAGCTAATGGATTTGAAACCTTTTTGTTGAGTTTCTAGCGCCTCCTGCTCCCACTCCCCTTAGAAATAACTTGTTCTGTGTTTCTTCTAACACTGTGTAATTCTGTTCTGTATTTCAGCACTATTCCTATTGCAGAAAGGTTCTTCACAAGTTCAACATCTCTGACTTTAAAGCATGCTGCCTGGTATCCCTGTGAGACATTAGAGCCCCATATTGTGCTCTTGACTTCAGATAATACTATAAGGTAAAAGCAGTAGGGTTTTTTTGTCATAGTTGGTCTGATTTTTTCATTAGATATTTGTGTCCTGCCATTCTTACCAGGATTACCAATTAAAAATAGGATGGGAGAAGTGTTAGACAGATACCAGGTGATGTTCCTGCACCAGCAGGGACTGTACAACACCGCTGGCTGAATGAACACTGCTGCTGTTTCTTTCCTCTAGGTTTTACAGCCTGAAGGTGCCTCAGACACCCATCAAAGTGATTGCTCTTTCAGACACTGAGGAGGAGACTCTTACAATCAAAAAAGGGTTGGTGTAGCTTCTTGGATTTTGCAATGCTTTTGGCAGAATAAGCTCTGTATTCTCGGTTGTGTTTTTAATGAATAAGGGATAAATCTACCTCTTGGCCTAGTCGGAGAGGAAAAAGTTGAGGGTCTCAAGTCCTGTCTCATGTTCTGTCTTGTCCCCAGGAGAGCCTACACAGCGTCGCTGGGAGAGACTGCGGTGGCGTTTGACTTTGGGCCCCTAGTGCCGGTCCCGAAGAACATTGTTGGGCAGCGAGGGAGCGAAGAAGTGTTGGCCTATCCGCTGTACATTCTGTATGAAAATGGAGAGACATTCCTCACATACATCAGCCTGCTACAGAGGTAGGGTCCTGTTCATCCTTGGGTTTCATGGGGTGTTTGTATGTTTGTACTGTGTTAGAGCTGGAGACCCATCTCTCAGTTTGGCTGGGACGCTGTAATGGAGGCTGGGCTGAATTTTACTGTATTGCAGCCTGTTTTATCTCTTTGTGCCAGTGCTAACAGACTGAAATCCCAGAATAGCATGCCATCCTTCTTCATCCAGATGTTACAGGTGCCATTTTCACTGCTGAGAACTCACTGTCTGTTGTTGACAATCAGAAATCTGAAATTAAGAGACTGGACTGTTAAAATATCAGTGGGTCTGAGGCTGTTGGGTGTATTTTGGGGCCTTCAGTTTGCAGCGCAGAGGTTTGGGTGAGGCTGAAAGAGCAAGTGGCATCTCAGGAAAAAAACAGTTTAAGGTCATAAAGGATTCACAGTGGTGTTCTGTAACGAAAAGTCTAGAATATAAACATGATATAATAAAAGATTGCTGCTTCAGATAACTGAGAAGATGGTTGAAACTTTACAAGTTAGATCCTGTGTAACTGAATACTAAAAACGTGTGGTATTTAGGTTAGAAACAGCCCCGTTGGCCTCTGCCTGAGAAATGATGCAGCATTGAGCAGATCCTGTCTGTAGGGTTGGGTTTGTTTGTTTTGGTTTTTTTTTTTAATTATACATATTTTGTGGTTATTACGCAGCAAACCTCCCGCAGGGGGAACTCTCCTTCCACACCTTGTGTTGTGAACACCTCTGCTTTATTCCAGCACTGGGAATCTGGGGAAGCTGCTTGGCCCCCTGCCCATGCACCCTGCTGCAGAAGATAACTATGGCTACGATGCCTGTGCTGTCCTGTGCCTGCCTTGTGTCCCAAACATCCTGGTGATTGCCACCGAGTCGGGAATGCTGTATCACTGCGTGGTGCTGGATGGAGAAGAGGATGATGAGCAGGTATACTTTGTCTTGGTTGGGTTTTTTTTTTTCGATATGCATTTTTCTTTCTTTGGTTCCTGGCTGCAAGATGGCGAGGTGCCTGGAAGTGAATGCCAAGTGCCAAAGCTGCATTGGTTTATGATGAGGTAACGGGTCTTCCCCCTCTTCCAGCCAGTCCCTGTGATTCTCTGGTGATTTTATTTTACGTGTCAGTTCTGTGTATCCTGCTGGTAGATCAGTTTTTAATCAAAATTATTACCAAGTTTTTGAAAGAGTATCTTCTAAGAAGGAACACCATTTCTTAGATATTTTTCAGTTAAAAAATAAAGGGACTTGAACTACTTTCCCTAAAAATTAATACTCTTCCCTACGTTATCTGACTTCTTGATACTGTTTATGTTGGTGTTTCTATCCAAGTGATGTCTCACAGAAGAATTCAATGCTCTTTACAGTCAGAAAAGTCATGGGACCCAAGATCTGATCTCATTCCCTCCCTGTACGTGTTTGAATGTGTTGAGCTGGAACTTGCACTGAAACTGGCATCAGGAGATGAAGAAGAGCCTTTGGAGTCCGATTTCTCTTGCCCAATCAAACTGCATCGAGGTAGGGTTGTCCTTCAGGTTGCTGCCTTTTTCTTGATTTCACGAATTTAGGATCAAGCTATTTACAAGTTATCATTGGTGTCAAACAGTGGTGTTGGAATAAGGATTTGCCTGATGCCATCAGTAAAGCTGTGGACAGAGCAAGCCTGGGAGGTGCTCTAGTGTTCACTCAAGGGCAGGTTACGTGGTCACGTAACACTAGGTTCTCTCTGCTGTGGATTATAAAGTGAAATTGCTGCATCTGGAGTGACCTGTGGATGCAGGGAAGTGCTGTGGGGATGGGGATCCTGAGGGAAGAACTGGTATCTGCTCATTGGACTATCCCATGTAACTGTGGGGCAGGAGGTTGGGTAGGACAAGCAGTCTGTCAGCATGCTGGTCTGCTGGCTTTAGCTGATCTGCCCCGTAAAATCTAGTGGATTGATACAGATGTGTGAGAGGAACAGTTCAAAACAATTCATCAGGTATTTCAAGCGTAATTTAATTTTATGCAGAACATCTAGATCTATTTTTGGATACGGATGAGTTAGTACTTCCAAGAAGATGTTAATGCTGACTGGCCACTAAGTTGACACAAGTATTCAACAGTGCAGGTTTGAAGGATGAGTTTTTCTCAGCCTTCTCCATTTGCTGTTTAAATTTCAGATCCGAAATGTCCCTCTCGATACCACTGCACACACGAAGCTGGTGTCCACAGTGTGGGGTTGACGTGGATCAATAAACTGCACAAATTCCTTGGTTCAGGTGAGTGGAGAGACTGCGTCGCAGGGAGAGGCAAGAGATCACCATCCAAACACCTACAGTGTCTGCCAGTAACAAACTGGTGGACGTGGGTAATAATGAGAATCCTTTACCCTGCAAAGTGGATCTGATGCATTCTGACAAATCTCGTTGCAGATGAAGAAGACAAAGACAGTTTACAAGAGTTGGGAGCAGAACAGAAGTGCTTCGTTGAACACATTCTTTGTACAAAACCCCTGCCATGCAGGTAAAAACCAAACCCTTTCCACTTCTTCCAAATCAGCGAGTTGCTATAGAAAACAGCTTTGTGAAACACATCTGCTTTGGGCAATTGCCTCTTTTCCAAAAGAGTGAACTTGCACAACTTCAGGAGCAAAGAAGTTGACTGGGTCATTCTTGTGTTTTGTTCCCTCAGGCAACCTGCTCCGATTAGAGGATTTTGGATCGTTTCTGACATCCTGGGGCCCACAATGATCTGCATCACAAACACCTATGAGTGTATTACAAGGCCTCTCTTGTACGTTGCTCTTAATTGGTTTGAAATCAGTGACTGTTGAATGAAAAGGATCTCGGGATATTATTTTGTTATTGTTATTCTTTTGA